AAAGTTAGGGTACTATGATGGGTGAAAGTATTCTGGCCTGGTTTGGTATTGTCTGGTCTCTGTGCTTGCAAGAGCTGGTGGATTAGGTTTGATAGAGATTTGAGCTTTTTAGGAATGAATGTGACTGCTACAATTCCATCATCATATGTACATAATCTTCTATTTATTTTAACCTTAATAATCAAAAGCTTCTTCTTTATTTCTCCTATATTGGTCCTTTGTTCCTTGTGAATAGTGTGTTTTGAGAGTCCATTTCTTTGCTTACCTCACTTTACCTGTTTTTTCTTCTTCTTGTTTTCTTTTTCTCATAAATAAATCGCTCGTCTACCTCAACATGCATAGAATATCTTTGGTATGTCTCAATTTATATAATTTATTTTTTTTCCAGTTAGTCCTTAGATATTTTTATATTTAGTACCAACGATATAACTTTAAAGTATTAATTTCATCTTTAATAAAATAATTTACATTAGTTACATAAACATCTATTATTTATTTATACAAATCACAAGTTCTAAAAGTTAGTTTTTCTTTCTTAAATATCAACTCAAGTTAAACTATTGATGAATATCGCGTAAATTAGGATGAATGGAGTAATAATTATATGATTCTTTAAAATTTATGGGGTTATACATTTTGTTTGCACATACCAAGTAAAATAGGTGCATAGACGGGTGGATCTGGAGAGTCGATGAATATCTACAAAGGTTAAATCAGTTGTTAAGGAGGTTCAAAAGATTTTGTGTGCACATACCAAGTAAAATAGGTGCGTAGACGGGTGAATCTGAGAGTCGGTGAATATCTACAAAGGTTAGATCAGTTGTTAAGGAGGTTCAAAAGATTTTGTGTGCACATACCAAGAAAAATAAATGGGTAGACGGATGGATCTGGAGAGTCGATGAATATCTACCATGGTTTGATCAGTTATTAAAGAGGTTCAAAATTCACGAGGTTTTAAGTTTCAATTTTAAACATTATATTTTTCGAATCCCTTACTTTGCTCTTTAATTAGAAGTCTTGAGCCCTATACGTTAAAAAAAAAAAAAATACAACCCTAAGAAAACAAAAACAAAAAAGAAACTCTATATAAAGCTAACGGTCACTTTTTCAAGATTTCATTTCAAAAAAACACAACTCTTCCCTCTCTCTGTGTTCGTAACAAATCCTCTCTGTCTCTTTCTCTTTTCTCTCCCATGGCGGAAAAGCAAGAATCTTTGGGAAAACCCAATTCGCAGAGTGAAGAAGAGAAGAAGATTCCAGTGTTTACGGTGCTAAAGAATGGTGCCATCCTCAAGAATATCTTTCTTCTTGACAATCCCCCTGTCACACCTGTTGCAATCACAGCAAATCAAGAATTTGAAGAGATTTTGGTAGTTGGAAGACACCCAGATTGTAACATTGTACTGGAACACCCAAGCATTAGCAGATTTCACCTCCGAATTCACTCTAATCCCTCTTCTCATTCCCTCTCTGTTATTGATCTGTCTTCGGGTAATTCCTAATTCAAACTCTGCCTTTTGAAGTTTTTCTTTCTTTTTCAGTATTAAGTATGTAGATTTCTTGATTTTGTACGAGGTCAGCATCCCAGAAAGATAATACTCTTTTTGTACAATTTACGTGACACTTTCCTTTTTAGTCCGTCCTAAAAAATGTTATTTTTCTACAATTAGGACGATTTTTAAAGTCAAAAAGTGAAATTTTACAAGAGCTTTTTCCAAGTCTTGCATATTTAGGGATTTTTATGAATGTGATTGTTCCTATGAAAATCTTTTTCTCTTGACTAGACAAGAAATCCATGAATTCACATTTCTTTTTATTGTTTCACTGTGATTTGTTGCTGCTTCAGTCCATGGGTCATGGATTTCTGGTAGCAAGATTGAACCAGGGGTTCGAGTTGAGTTGAAAGAGGGTGATAAGATGAAGCTAGGAGGTTCAAGCAGGGAATACATGCTTCACTGGATTCCAATAAGTCGCGCATATGATTTAGAGAATCCGTTTGTAGCTCCGCTAGGTGAGGCAGAACCATTCGAAGAAATGGAGGAGAAAGAACATCAGGTGAGCTGTAGTAGTTTACCTGTATGTTTTCAACGATTTTGTACCCGTAGTGTCTAATTTATCATTTTCTTTTTCTAGGATGAGAATGGCTTTGCTCTTCAGAATGAGGGTGATGATTTGGTGAATAAGCAAGATTCATCGTGTTCTTATTCGAGTTTGTTGCCATATGTTAAATGTTTGACTCCGTCGGCTCCTCCAATGCCTGAGGAGATGAAGTCCTCATTTCCCTTAGGTCATGAGGAAGTAAACAAAAATCCATCTGAGGAAATCCATGGTGAGAGTGAAATCAGTTTGCTGCAGCCTGCTTACGAACCTGACAAAGAAAATGACAGTCCGAGAGCCCTTCTTGTCTCAGGAGGGTTCCGAACAGAAAATGAAGATAGTACTCCAGTAAGATCTCAGCAAAGATGTTTGAACATTTGGTCTAGACGGGGAAAATATTCTACTGTTCAGATTCAAACTGGCCGAGATAGAGCTGTTATTGAAAAAGTTGACATTGATACTGAAGTTCACACAGGTGATCATGAGAAGGTTGCAATGGAATCAGTTTTCCATGATCCTTTTTCTGTTGGAAACAAGGATGAAGAAGACGCCTTCACTCCAGACAAAGAGAACCATGTTCCTAGTTCTCTCTTACTTGGGTCCGAGAAGAACTCATGTCTTGCTGATGGACAAGCTACAAAACCTATTCTTTCTTGTTGTATGGATGAGAATGGTGAAGAGAATATTACTCTGGAAAAAGTGGATTTTTCCGCAAACACTCATTCACCAAGGTCAATGAAGAAGATGAGCTGTTCAGAGCAGCAAATTAAGAATCCAAAATCTTTTAGATCTTCCCCAATGAAAGAGGCTTTTGATTCCATACTAACACAAGCTGAAGGTCTTGAATATTACACAGAGAATGTCGGATCATCTACTTTGCTCTCAAATATAATTAAGAATAGTGAACAAATTTTCACTCCAGATAAAGAGAATATGACACCTGATAGTTATTCAATGAGATCGATAAAGAAGGGAAACATGGAGGAAGTAAAGCAACGAAAACCATTTGATAAAGAAAATTTGAATGACAAAGTTCTTGAAGAGCAAATATCAGAAAGTCTTGCTTGTAGAAATAAGTCTAGAATGGAGGTACCCGTACTGAAGAACAGAACAGATAGAGTACCATTCCAACCTCTGCTTGTGAACAACTCCCCCAACAAGACCAAATCAGAATCTCCAGAACGGAAGGTCAAGTTGAATGCTAAACCAGTCAAGTGTCAAGAAATTATGGAGGCATGCCCCTTTGCTGTAAGTTCATTGACATGCTTCGTATGTGAAAGAACTTCTTTAAGATTCCTAATCTATCTTTTAAACAATATCCACAGAATAACAATGCCAGGGAAGAGAAAAGAAGGTGGATCATGGTAGTGGATATCACCTCTTTGTTAAACAAAGAGTCTAGAAAAGCTTTGCAGCTTTTGCAAGGTCTCAAAGGGACTTGCCTGATAATTCCCAGAATTGGTAATGAACTTACTTTAGCACTCCCTCAGAAAAGTTCCTAACATCCTCAATATTTCAGTAACTTTTCTTTCCAAAACTGCTTTATGTGATCTTTATCTATTCCTTGATATTAGTCTTAAGAGAACTGGATTGCATGAAGAGGCGTGCCAGCTTTTTCAGAAGAGCAACAGAAGTATTTGCAGCATTAGACTGGATAGATGATTGCATGGTAAATACAAAATCATGGGTTCATGTGCAGAGTTGTTTAGAGGAAACAAGGCCAGTGGCACCAACTCCTCCTGCAACTGCACCACCACGTTTTTTCAATGAGGAGAATGACATCTTTCCAGTCGGCTCAGTTCTATCCTCTCCACATTGTGGTCTAGCGGAAATTGTTTCACCCACAGCAGAGGATCATATTCTTGAATATGCCCTCCTCTTCAAAATAACTAACAGAGATGGACAACTTGTTCTCCTTAGCAATGATCTTACTATGAAGATCAAGGCCATGGCAGAAGTAAGACCACAACAACATGTCAACATATCCTCCCTTCCGCATTCTACCACACCCTTGAGAAAACAAGACTGACATTTATTTTTGTTTATTGATTGGCAGGGTATAATCTGTGAGACAGCAGAAGATTTCCAAGAGAGTCTTGTGAACCCATTCTCTGAGAGGTTTCTCTGGAAAGACAGCTCTCCCCGGGGAAGCACTTGGTCGTGTGCGGATGACTTTGTTCTTGGACCTCTAAGGAAAACATCAAAGTCAGGACAAGCAGCAAAAGGCTTGAAGCTGATATTGCTTCATAATTCTCATTATAGGCAAATCTGTTCAGGCAGCACAGTTAGCTAGGTAAAGACACTCACCCTTAGGGAAGCTGCTTGCTTCATATTTCTATCATAGGAAAATATGTTCATCCAGCTGAACCATCTAACTGAGCCCAGTACCCCTTCTTATCAAAGATGTCAAAAATGAATTCAGATCTTACGACCACATCTAGACTTGTAAATGGTCATTGTTTCAGTCTTTTGTAACTTCTAGTTTTTCATTGCAATGTAATTGATTCTAGATGATTCATAGATTTTCTCAATGAAATTAGGGAATGTTGCGAAGCTTTTGTACATGTATTCCAATATCTTCAAAAACAAATTCAATGTTAGTTTTAGTTCAGCACTTTGATATATAGTTATTATCATCTGATTTGCTCAGCATCTATCCAGATTCTCTTGTGAAACTAATTTAAGAAGTTCTTTCTGTTAATGGAGTCTGTTTGTAACTAAAAGCAGATCAATAAAAAAAAATATTCTAATATGTATCAACAATTATCTAAGAAATGTCTTCCTCTCAACTTCTATAGCACGGCTTTAGACGAATAATGCATTTATTGTTGACTTGAGATTAGAGTCTTGCCAAGTACCTAGTCGAGCCAGGTATAACATTTTTAAGCAGTCAAAAAGAGCAATGCACACTAATGAAAGACGTCATTTATTCATAAAGAACTGACATAATAAGAAAACTAGACACCATTAAACCAAAGACAAATTTACTTGAACTATTCCAGTTCAGTAGAACCTATGTTTTTCCAGCCTTCCGGGGGTAATTACATGAACCTGACAGTAGAAAAGAGAATGAGTTTTCTTGGTCCTCAAATGATGGTTGAGGGAACTCTTGCAGTTCGTTAAGCTTGATAGTTTCAAAGTTCGAAGATGAGAAATAACTGTCAGGGTTATCTGTACACCCTTTAACATTCATTGTATTTTGAGGTCCACTGTCATTCTGAACATTTATCTCAAAATCTATATTTCCAGCCTTTGTAGTTGCATCATTGGTTGGCCTTGATTGGATGTCTGAGCAAAACCTTTGGTTTCATCTAGAGGAATTGCAGGTGTGTGTCCTTGGAAAAGGGAAATGTGCCCGAAAAGCTTGTCTTTCCTGGAAAAGGTTGTTCCACAAGAACAAAGCCATTTATCTTTACCACAATGTTTCTCATGTGTTCTAAGATCTGCAATAACTGAAAATTTCTTCAAATTGCACCTACTACAAGCATATCTTTTCTCACAGTGAGTTCTTCTGTAATGGTTTTTCACACATAAGATAGTCTTTAGTGGCTGAAACTTTTTGTGCTCTTTATTGCGCTTGCAACCAATACAAGGACATGAATACCTTTTAATAAGCGTCGTCCCAGAGCTGGAATCCTTCTGAGGCTTTATAAGAGCAGCTGAAGTTTTGTATTCATCCCCATGACCCCTCATGTGCATCCGCAAATTGGCATCTCTCTTAAATCCCTTCCCACAAATTGTGCAAAAGTGAGTATGAGGTGCAAGAATTTCCTCTTTCTCCAGCTGCAGAATCTCGTAGGAACCAGGAGGTAGGTTCTCTTCCTCATGGGGTTCATCTTCATCTTTCGCCTCATGTTCATCAACAAAACAATCTCCCATTTGATCAACATGGCTGAGCTGATCTTTTGCCTTGGGCACATAACCATTACATGTCAGAGCACCAATATTAGTACCTGTTTCAGAAGGAACGGAAGCACCACCAAACTGCTCGAGTCGCTTGGTAGGTGGATTCGCTTGATGCTTCACGGTTGGAAGAAGACTCCCTGCAGTTGATATCAATTGAATAATAATAGAGGTAAGATCAGCTGTTATAAGCTGTTGTTGCTGAATTGAAAGGTCACTTCCCTGAATCCCAGCTAGACTTCTATGGTCAACAATTATACGCACCAGCTCCCGGAGTTGATGAATCTTTTGTTCAAGAAAAGACATACTTTTAAGCATAGCTCTTGGATCCCATTCTTGAAGACCAGCAAAATCATGATTTTCATTGCTTTGATTAGCCTGTTGTTCCATGCTAGATGCGTTTTAGATTTCGAAATTTGTTGCTCAATCCTAGTCTGATAAACCAGAAATGAGTGTAGTTAGTTAGTTATTTGAGAAAATTAGTTATAATCCCAAATGAGGATATTTATACACTTTTAAGTCTTTGAAATTTAAAAGAAACTAAGATAGAGAGATGTGCCTAAGACGGCTCGTAGGCAAACTGAGCAGAGGAGAGATGTTCGCAATTACTACCACAAGAAAGCCGTCCATGTTCATTGAAACCTACATTTAATTTCCAAACACTGAATAACAGCATCCCCATCGAACATCCTACCCCCAACCCTCAGACCAACCTCCAACAGAAAAGTAAATTACATAGAAACAAAGTTTTCAAAAAAAACATTTAACAATCCTGAAACCCCCCAACAACAACAACATAAATGGGGTCTGAAGAGAATATGATATTCGAAAATCAGACACTAGCAATAGTAGACAACTAATTAATATGAGTGGACAACAAGACTAAGCCCTAATTAGTCCACCAATAGATGAAATCCAATCAATAATAAGCAAAAGTAATGAAGACAAACCAGATTAAAGATGCTCTGAGTGGGATTACACACACAACAAGAAAAGAGGAAACTAAGCAAAAGGGTCAGTTTTACATGTATGAGGATAGCAACAACAACAACTAATGTCTATTCTCAAATGAATGAATGGATCCCACTAACTTTATTGCTAGTAAAAGCTAGCCATCACCAACTTTGGCTTTTTATGAAGAAAAATAGTAAAATCAATTTGTCTAATCAAGAATTATTGTTAGCTGCCCACCACCACTACCTGCAATGCATACTGCACAGTTTCTTGAACGTGTTATATGAAATCATGATTTTAATTTGAATTTCTCAAGTTTGTAAAAAAAAATTTCTTTATAAATTGTGAAAATCATCAAATTTTATCAAATGAGCAACTGTAATTGAGTTCGGCATTAAAATTGACACTTTTCTAGACATTATATATCAAAGAGATCTTTTATTTAGTAAGGTTAATCTCTTTGCACCAAACATAATTTTTTTATAAAACTTAAAATGATGAGTGTTTTTAATAAATTATTCTAAAGTTTTATATTTTTTTTAAAAAAATCAAATTTCAAACGATGCCCGTATGGCACTAATTTCATATTGCACAATTTGAAATCATGACTTTGCCTACCAATAAAAAAAGAAATCATGTTTGATTCAAAAAGTCTTTCTTTTCGTGATGTAAAATGAAACCAATCTTTATATGGTCGATTTGAAACATATTTAAATAATCAATATTGATATTATTAAGATAAAAGTAATTAATTCAAAGGTAAAAGTCTTGCTAGGAAGCACTATTAATCTAATGGTGTGAAATCGAATAATCGATTAGCTTGTGTTATTTATTAAAAAAAAAGAAGATGTTTATGTATCTATTAAATGATTTATGCAATGGAACACGATTGATTTGGAGAAGTTTAACATACACGATGACATGAACAACGAAACAATATACTACAAAGTAAGTGTTCATTGCAAAAATATCATTATCTCGGATATCCATTTGAATTCATTTGGAAGCATTTCCCAATACAATTATATTTTGTAATGACCAAAAAAAAATTTAAAACTTAAGGTCAAACAATCTTAAATGTTTGGATTATATTTGCCGCAACATGTTTTCTCGCATGGCCAACTATACGTAGCACTTTGAAGGAAACGATGAAAGTATTGGTTATGACTAAACAACCAGATAGAAGGACACGAGCATACACAAGAAATATCGTATACAAGGAAGTATTAGGTGAGATACGATTGATACCATTTGGAAAGTGCCATGCAATAGGGGACAAAAATAACATTGTAGGAAGCTAATGAAAATCTCATGGACAATCACCATATATACATATTGTTGAAACACAAATGATGATTCAAGCTATGGGTTGAATCCTAACAGGGAGACCATTGAGAGGTACAGGTGATGATTTATAAATAATTTTTTCATGTGGAACCAATTTCTCTAACTTGAAATTGGTAACAATATTATACATAAAAACAAGAATTTCCAATCTTGCATATTCTTTTCCTGGACACATTCTTGGTCCTCCACCAAATGGTACAAAAGTGTATGGTTCTGGTCCACTTCCTTCAAATCTACAAGGGTCAAATTTTTCTGGCTCTGGAAAATATTTTGGATTTTTGTGTGTTGAATACACACTCCAAAATGTCTGTCCAATATAAAAAAAAACATTATTCGTTAATTAGAAAACAAAATTTAACTGATTCACTTTAGTGACCATCTGAAATATTATTTCGAAACATACCTTCCATCCTTTTGGTACAGTAAATCCTCCAAATGTGAAGTCAGTAATTGCTTCTCTAAAAGCACCTTGAGCTGGTGGCATTAGCCTTATTGCTTCACATGCAACATTCCATGAATACTTCATTTTCTGGATATCATCCCAATTTAGCAACTCTCCTTCACCTTTTGACTTTGCAATTTCCATTTGTTCTTATTCCAAACATGCATACAAAATAAAAGGATATATAAGTCCTTAGTATGCACTATTAAAAATAAAGGTTTTCTACACATAATACATAAACGTGATACGTCAGCTGGCAATTTCGATCTTTGATTTTGGGTGCGCACAAACTTGTATAAAATTGAACAAATAGACGTATTCGTTCTATATGACAACCCTACATGGCAACTTCATGTTCTACATGGCATCCTATGTGTATTATACCACGTAGGAGAAATATGTGTAATTTTTCAATTAGATACAAGTTTAACTGCCTACTTGTGCATATTCAAAGTTGGATGCATAGTTATCAGGGTTTTTTCACAACAAATTAGGGAGAAATATAAAACATGAATCAACTAACTAGAAAGATGCATAGTGAAAAAAAGATTTTCATTGAAATAAAGATCTGATTATGTAAATAATTTAGTGTATAAAACTAATCAAATTCATAACTAAAACCATTAAGAATAGTAATACCTTTATAAACCTCATTGAAGATATTTGGAAGCTCAGCAAGATATTTCAAGACAAAAGTGATAGCAGCACTTGTAGTATCATAGCTTGCAACAAGTAACCCTATAATATTATTGTAAATCTCTGCATCATTCATAAATTGACCATTTTCATCACTAAAACTTATAAGTTGAGACAATAAATCATTACTATGATTATTTTTCTCATTGATCTTCCTCTCCTTAATAATCTTCATAAGCTCCTCATGCACCATTTTCCCCCCTTTTATCGCGCGATTATAAGGCGTACCGGGCAAATTAATTGGCACCGTAAACATCCCTGACGTTACAAGAACGAAAGGGTCCGATAACTTTTTAACGTGTCGAAAATCATCTATTGATAGGAACAATTTGCAAGCTAAGCTGAAAGTATATTTTTTTACTAGAGGGTAAATTTTGACTTCTTTGAAAGGGATCCATTCTTGTTTTAAGTGATCACGAGCCATGGAATCCATAAAAGGGATGTATTGTTTGAGATTTTCGGGTTTTAGGATCTCACGTAGGAATCCGCGATTTAAAAGAGCGATTTCTTTGACAGAATTTTGAGATTGAGATTGAGTCGGGCACATGAGTGGTTTGGTTAGAGACGGTGGCCACCATGTGGTAAGAAGTTTGTTTTCATTCGAAAACAAGAACTTGTTACCACTAGTGCCACAAAAAATCGCGATTTTTTGGCCTAAGAGGGAGGTTTTAAAGACTTGTGATGAGTGTTTTTCCATTCTTTCATGAATGAATTTCTCTGGGGATGATGAGTAAGCCATGTCAATGTTTTCTCCAAGAATTGGCCATCCATTTGAGCCTAGTGGAAGATTTGTGTGTTTGTTATTGGAGTAATTGCCTTTGAAAATGAAATAGAGAGAAATGTAAACAAGTGCAAATGCTAGTGAATAAAGAATAAAGGGATCCATTTTTTGAGATAGTGTCTTTACACAAATTCATTTTAAAGGACTATGGATGTGTTATGTGTTCACAATATGAAATAAAATATTTTTAATATTTAATCTTGTAGGTCCTATTTAATTTCCACCACCCAACCCTCCTTACTTTCACTTCACTCTTAATCAATTTCGAATTCGAGTTTTATATATAAAAAAAATCTTAATAATAAGCGTTTTATTGAAATTGACCCTACACAAAAAAAATAAATAAATTATGATCTATAAAGAACTAGTCAAGATAGTAGGGCGTGGTAACATAAATAAAGTTTTCAATTATCATCCATTATGAAAAAAAGGATAATTAATTAAAATAATTAAGTAAAAATATGTGTTGGGATCTACATCTTTTATTAAAAAGTAACGCACCACAAGGTAAATTATGTTGTTTTTTTTCCTTCCGTTTTTATCTCCTGATATTTATTTAATTTTTCATATGATTTTACGACTCATTCTTTTTAAAATGTCATAAAAATATCTTCTTATTTAATTGAAAAATAAAAAACTTAATACTTTATTATTTTTAAGAAGGTTATAATTTACCAACTTTCTCTTAATTTTCGGAGTTTTTCAAATGTAGCCGAAAAATGTTTGACAAGAAGTGCAAGATGCTATTGGTATCAAAAATTAAAAACTTGTTCAAAATATTTCTTTCGATTGAATTACTTTACGCGATATTTAGATAATATTAAATAAAAAACTACTCGAAAATAAAAACAGAACTCTAAATTATTTTTAAAAATATTGTATATAAAGACAAATTGCAACTGCGTGAGCAAAGAAAAAATAAATAAAATCATAGGAGGTAATGGTGAATCAACTTTTATATTATTAGATCATGAAAATAATTAAATATTGAGTTTTAAATTATTTTTTCATAAACATAGTGCTTTGTAGTTTACTTTTTGTAGGTGTTTGAAAAAAAATTATTAGACTAACAAAAAAATGTCAAAAGTTGATTATTGAATAATTCCACGAGATGTTCCTTTTGCACACAACTTTAGCCAAATATCACGCTCATAAATATTTTGTCGAAAAAGGGTTACAATTATCTTTAAATCAGGTGAAATTGAATAAAAAATTATTTATGTTATTGTTAGTTTTGCTCGAAAATATCTCTATTTTAATATTTTAATTCGAAAATATTTTGCTCAAATATATGGCATTTTTTCAAGGCAAAGAAATAACAGAAAGGATATATTTTTTTTCACTTAACTAATATAATGGAATCTATTTTCATTTAATTTCACATAATTTATGGATAATTTTTATACTTTTCTATTTTCTTATTTTAATCAAATAAAGAAAAGAGAAGAAGAAGATGCATTATAGGAAATGACGTATATGTCCTTGAGAAAATTGATTTGATCTGAATTATTATTTTTATCTGAGATTCAAAAGTTATCTTTATTCTTTTATACCAGGCATTAATGGTCTTCTATATTGCCGATATTGGAGTAGCTAGTAATATTAATGCTCGTTTGATCATGAATCTAAAGTTTGGACAAAGCATAAAAAGTGAACCAATATAAGAAATATGAACATAAATAATTACTATTTAGTATTTCATGCATGTAAAATAATAAGGATCCCTCTAAGTTTAAACCTAAAAGTAAGAGACTAGTTTAACTTTTTTTCTCCCTATATATAACTAAAATTTAAGTTTTAAATATTAAATGGCGAAGAAATAAATATCCCTTAGACTATAATCGAAATTATAAAGACATTCTTTAATTATATTAATGTCATATTATCCATATATGAACTTATTTTATATATAATATTATACATCTTTTGACTTATGTGGCATATAACTAAATCTTTAAAAAAAATGATTTAAAAATTATATTTATAATAATATTAACAACAATAGTATTACTTGTTAGAATTTATTATTTATTGCTAAATTGAATAAATATTAACAATAATAGAATACTTTTAAGTTCCAAAAATAATAATATATTTAAACTCTATTGGTAATTAAAATGTTTTACGAATATTCTAAAATTAAGCCAAACAGTTAAAAAACAATTAATTTTTGTCATTTATGAAATAATTTCAAAATTAAAAAATCAAAATTTATTAACTATACAAATAATTGAATTGAACAAAAAAAATTAAAAAAATAATCAGAATGTGTTGATTGAGATTTCCATATTATTAGTTTATGTGATAGGATTTGCATTAATTTTATGGGCAATAAATTTCGTAGAAAATGAATTCAAGCACTATATTTGTAACTATATCTAATCTGATAAAAGAAGAAATTAATTGAGTGAAACTCACTAGCTCATTAATTGGACATTTGCATTCAAGCATTAACTGATAGCTCATTTAGACAGGTTAATTGAGTTTTGTTCCTTATAAACACCTTATATATAATTTCATTGTGTTATTTTAATAGATTTTTAGTTATCATCCAAAAATAAAAAGAGTGTGTAATATATTATCGAGTTAAAGTAACAAATTAAACAAATACACATATCATGCATGTAAAAACAATTTTAAACTAATGACTTTTAAGTAAAAAGAAATTTATCACTTCTAATTTTCAAGAAACTCACTCTTGTCTTCTTCACCCAATCAACTCAGGCGTCTTCTCCACCCCACTCATCCCAACCCCAAATGCTCCTCTATCTCCACTAGATTGTCCATCCTTACCTTGACCCCTTTTTCACTCTATTGTCTTTTCAAAAAAACACTTTCAAAATAATTTATTACATTTAAAAGTTAATTTATAAATGAACAATATATTTTTTTTTCTTCTTTACTTCTATAAAAATCAGTTATAACTAACATGGAAGAATTTTTTATTTTTTTTTGCATTTCTCGTGTATGTATAAGATTCAAATATGTAAACAAGAAATAGAGTAATTATTTAGTGGCGCTAAAATTTAATTGTTGATTCTAAATAAATAGAATGAGAAGAAGATGATCGTGATGGGGTTTTCAGATCTCAATAATTAAATATTACTTTACTTTAAATAAGATTAATGGCAATGATGCAGCGGCGGTGGATTGATGGTGTGTGGCGGATGAGATAATCACAAAGAAAGAGGGAAGAAGATGAACAGTGTTTTAAAAATAATTTGTTGGCTTGTAAAAAGTTCTTCACGCGCTGACTTTGAGTGTATACTCATCATGTCAAATGACACAATGAGACCCTATATAAGGGGTTTAAAATGAAAATCGATTGAAGTGTCTAAGTGAAACTACGTGCCAACTTTAAGAGGCTACTGATGAATTACGCCAAGAAATTATGGTCAATCTATAGATAGAACTAGTCAAGATAGTTGGGCGTGGTGTTCGTTGGCCTAACACTACAACAAAAATAACTTTTAACGGCAATACATATTGAAATTTATAAAGAGTGTTAAAGTTTACATAGTTAAGTGTCATTAGAATTAATATCGCTAAAAACTTTAGAGACATACAAAGAGTATTACTTATCGCTAAAAATGTATATTTAACAATAATTAATTTTTAATTATCGTTAATAATCATTTTTTATGAAGCTTAATAACATAAATAAAGTTATTATCCATTAGTAAAAAGGATAATTAATTAAGATAATTTAGAAAAAATATATGTTGGAATCTACAATGTTTTTAACGAACACAGCAAAAGTAAATAACATTTTCTTTTATTCCTCCTTTATAGAAACTACAAAGTCCATTTTTGTCTCCTGATATTTATTTTATTTTTTATATGATTTTATGGCTCATTCCTTATAGAATGTCATAAAAATATTTTTTTATTTAATTGAAAAATAAAAATTTAATACTTTTATGCAAGGAGTTTTTCAAATTAGCCGAAAAATATTTAACAAGAGGTGCAACATTAGACATATGCTATTGGTATCAAAAATTAAAACCTTATTCAAAATATCTCTTATATTTCCTCCGATCGAATAACTTTATGTGATATAAATTGACCTTTTTAATGTCAATTAGGGGACAAACGTGCAACGCATATTTCGTGACTAGCTAGTAGGTTTATATGAAGGAAGAAATATATTCTCTTTTTTATAAAAATAGTCTTTTCTTTTTCAGAATTTTTTAAATTTTAAGTTTTCACGTGGGAGTAGGATATATATTTGTTCTTAAACCTTTGCCTTTTCAATAAAACAATTCTTTGAGAGAAAAAAAGGTTAAAAATACCTTTAAATTATTTGAAAACGTTTTAAAATATCCCTTATTTATCTATTTCTCTAAAAATACTCCTTTTGGCTCGCTTCTAGTCCCAACAATGAAAAAAATTATGGAACATGGTAATAATGTCAACATATTTATAAAACATTTTTAAAAAGTTATTTTATGTATAAAATTGTTCTTTAATTTTGTGGTCTTAAACATGCCACGTGAAAAATTAAAATTAAAATATCACGGTATTACGAAAAAAAAAGTCTTTCTTTTTTAAAAAGACTTTTTTAAATAAACTAAAAAGAAAAGTAGATCATTATTTCTAAAACAAATGAGTATGTATCAATTGTATTTAATCAAAGATAATTGAGAGTTTGTATTTTATATTTATTGTATTCAAAAACTATTTTTGTTTTTGTGACAAATGTATTTGTACTGATATGAATACAATATACATTTATCCTTCTGTCAAATATATTAAGTATCAATTATATCCAATCAAATATAAATAAAAAAAATGTTTGAAGTTAATATTGCCGGACCTAATATAAACTTTAAACCTAAAAAAATCTAAAGAACGTGTTATATTTTTATTCTACAAGCTCCAAAGAATTTTAGGTAATTTCTCTTTTAGAAAGAAAATAAAAGAGCAGGCTGAATTGTCCATGACATACTTGATTTTAATAAGAAAAGAGAAAAAAAAAATTGCAATTACATTACAATTTGAGTTTTTTTTTGTTTGAAGTTAAAATTGGGTTGTGTAAAATTGATTTGGGGGGCGGATTATTTCAATAATACAGGGATTTATTTGACCCTTTTTCATATTTTTAGCCCTTTTATATTTCTAAATTAATAAATAAACGTAGACAAGATTTATTCTCTACTTTGTCCTTGTCTATGCCTAACAATATCTAGGGCAAAAATAAAATTAAAACTAAAATCAAATAATCCAATAAGACTAAAACTAATCAAAATAGCTACAATTGCAAACCCTAACTTTAGTCTATATTTTTGGCCTAGATATTGTTAGGCATAGACAAGGACAAAGTAGAGAATAAATCTTGTCTTTTTTTTTATTTATTAATTTAAAAGCACAACAACAAATGCCAAAATTCCATTCAATTATTTCAAGATTTATTATTCATATTGGCATATATCCTTCAAGTTGTCCTATTTGTTGTCCTATTGACCAATTAAGCTTAAGCCCTTCATCTATATATGTTCACTTCTTCGTTCATTTTTTCAATACATAGGCAAAAAAAAACACTTGAAATTTTCTTAATAATAATATGGAAGTAGTTATGGTTCCTTACCTATTAGCTCTACTATTCCTCCCTCTCTGTTTAATGTTCATCCTCCGTAAACGCGATTCGAGTAGTAAAAGCCTTCCACCAGGAACTTGTGGATGGCCATTGTTAGGAGAAAACGTGGAGTTTGCTCTTTTAGGCCCTCAGAAATTCATCAAAGATAGGATGGAGAAGTACTCGGCCCAAGTGTTTCAAACATCAATCATGGGAGAGAAAATGGCATTCTTCTGTGGTGCACAAGGGAACAAGTTCTTGTTCTCAAGTGAGAACAAACTTGTCACCTCATGGTGGCCACAATCGATGAAGAAGGCGTTGCTTTTCCCTGAATTCGTAGAGAGTTCATTGAAACAAGTATCGGCTTTAAAACGTAGTTTTCTTCATGACATTCTTAAGCCTGAGGCTCTAAAACAATACATTCCACTTATGGATGCAATGGCTCGCCAACATTTACATCAAAATTGGGATTCTAATAGAGTAGTCACAGTTTTCCCTTTATCGAAGAAGTACACATTTGATTTAGCATGTCGATTGTTCATGAGTCTCGTTGATCCTGAAGAAATTAAGAGATTGGCTGATCCTTTTACTCTTGTTACCAATGGGATGTTCTCAATGCCTATTGATTTGCCCGGAACAGCTTATCATCGCGCTATCAAAGGGGGGACGATGGTGAGGGATGAACTTATGAGGATCATAACACAGAGGAGAAAGGAATTGACAGAGAATCAAGAGACATCAGGCAGAGACTTGTTGTCGAAAATGCTACTTGTTACTGATGAAGACGGACAATTCATGAGTGAAATGGAGATTTCAAACAACATAATAGGAATGCTAGTCGCGAGCTTTGAGACTACTAGTAGTGCAGTCACGAGTGTACTAAAGTACCTCGCTGAACTTCCCCACGTTTACGATCAAGTTTACAGAGGTAATTTATAATTCAAATGATAATATATATATATATATATATGTATATTTATAATGATTAAAATCCAAAATGACAGAGCAAATGGCAATTGCAAAGTCAAAAGGAGCAGAGGATTTGTTAACGTGGGAGGACATTGAGAAGATGAAGTATTCATGGAATGCAGCTCGCGAATCACTGAGACTAACGCCACCAGCTCAAGGATCATTTAGGGAAACAATCACTGATTTTACCTATGCTGGTTTCACAATTCCAAAAGGGTGGAAGGTACCAATTTTCATCACATTAACATATACGCGCCTCATTTTACAAAATTAAACATGTGATTGTATTGTCTACAGACGTTTTGGTCAGTTCACTCGACACATAAGAATCCAAAGTACTTTTCTGATCCAGAAAAGTTCGATCCTTCAAGATTCGAAGGAAGTGGTCCTGCACCTTTTACATTTGTACCATTCGGAGGAGGACCGCGTATGTGCCCTGGAAAAGAGTATGCTAGATTGGAAGTGCTAGTGTTTATGCACAATGTAGTGAAAAGGTTTAAGCTTGAAAAGGAGATTCCTGATGAGAAGATTGTGTTCCATGCTTCTCCTGTTCCAGTTTATGGCCTACCTGTTCGCCTTCTGCCTCATGGAAATTAACTTGATCATCATACTGTTGTTCTTTTCATTTGGTTTGGTAAATCATCATCTCTAATATAGACCTGAAAAATAATTGTGATGTAGTATGTCAATAACTTGTATTATCAATTTATGGAAATGCAGTATATGTTATACTCTACAATTAGTTTGTGTTTACTAGTAAAGTAGTTCTGTTTCCAAGGGGAAAGATACCTAAATTTCACTAGATTAGGACTTAATTACTTAGATTTCACCATTCTAGTTTGTAATATTATGTATATTATCGGATTTTGGTGCGCCTGGATACGTCAAACACGTCGAGAAATATGTATATCGAAATACATGGGGTCAAAATTAAGTGTAATTTGCTCTAGATACACTGTATCCAAGTGGACTCGCATGTATTTGAGATACATATAACCAATTTCGCTCGTCTCTTCCATCTCGCTCTCTATATACTCTCTATGTATTTCGTATCCTAAATACATGTGGATCACACCAAATATATGTATTTGTGTGTATTTAGTGTGATTGGCATATATTTGAGATACATAACAAATATTGCTTGTCTTTCTCCCTATTTTATCCCGTAGCAAAAATACATTTATTTATGTGTATCTTCCTCAATGTATAATTTGAAACTATTAAATAGTGATAAGATACATAACATTTTTAAGGGTTAAATAAATAATATTGTAGTATATATAATGGTGAAATGTGTCTAATTATTTAATTTTTCCAAATAACTAAGCACATAACATTTAGCTAATAGAAATGTATCCATCAAATAATAAATAATATATCAAACTAGTCACAATTCCTAACTTAATTAATAAAAATATCTACACTTTCAAATAATTATTGAAAATATCAAAATGTCAATATTTTAGAAAGTGATTTGTATTCAAATTTTATTTCTCAAAAAGTACAACTTTGAATCAAATTCTACATCTATTATCCATTTACACTTCTTCATATGCTTTAGTACCATTAAATCTATTTTTCATCTTTCACTTTTCAAATTTTTTTCTCCTTCATCAACTTTAATTTTCACCATCCCCATCATTCACTTTTCTCTTTTTTTTTCTTTTATCAAAATTTCACCATTATTTTCTCTCATTGTTGAAGAAGAACTAATTATTCAAGTTCGTAACAATTTGTTCAGATCTATCAATTAATTAAAAAATCTCTCAATTGATAAAGGTATTTTTGAATTCATCATTTATTTTGCGAGATTTTGTTTTCAAAATCACACATTATGTTAAATTTTGGATTGTATGTATTGAGGACTTTCCGTCATTTTTTTTAAAATTTTTATGTTAAATTGTTAACATACTCATCAAATATTTATGTATGTCCGATTTTTAGTATTTAAAATAATTTTTGTCGATCTTTATTTATTATTTGTTTTTAGATTTCAAATTTAGTAGAATCTACATTAGCATTTAGGTATTGAGTTGTTTCGATATTTTGAATGTTTTGTAGTTTGTAGTCAAATTTATTTTTACAAAGTGATAATCTAAATACAAACCTGTATTCTGATTATTTAAAATTGTGAATGAATACTAAATTAAAGATAAACTAGTTGGTATAAACATATAATGAGCAAAATAAAATACAAAACTATTTGACCGATGCAATTAGGATGAACACATATAATGAGTACATATATAAACTGTATTTTGGCTATTTATAGTTGAGAATGAATATGAAATCAAAATATAAATACAAAACTTTATGGTATACAGTAGGACGAACACGAAGTCAAATCTAAATACAAACTTTATGGTATACATTAGGGCGAATACAAAATTAAATCTAAATACAAATTATTTGATATACAATGTGATATTGGAAATAAGCAAAATAAAATACATATGTAAGATGGATTAATATATATACCATGAATACATGAGTATTGTATTTTGAATATTGAAAAATTTAAAAGAAGATACATAAACTTCATAACCTTAACATGATAGCCAAATAACTTCATAAAATTTCAGACATTTTTAAAGATAAAATTATAATTTCATAACGTCAAAATGATGCCTTAGTAGAATAAACTGCTTCAAATATGATAATGTATGGTAAATAAATGTATTTAGAAACAAAAAAATTAAGAAAATTGAATATTGAATTTTTAGATTAATAGTGATAGGCGTGTTTTTTAGAAATTGTGAAAGAAGAAGAAAGAGATGAAAGTTGTTATATTTTGATAAAATTGTCAATTAATTTTTTATTTTTGAATTTTTGTAACTGATAAGACTTTTAAGCAATTGTTTTTTTTTAATATTTTTCTCTCTCCTTAATTTCTCCTTTTAATTTTTAACAATTGTTTCTTTTTTGACATTTTTATTAAATATTGAAAGTATTGACAATGAATCAAAATATTGACATTTTAAATTTTTTCAGCCCAGACCTTCTCTGTTTGGCCCAAAACATAGTGATATTATTTCTATTTAGTTATAACAAACTTTGTTATGCTATTCATTATATATATATATATATATATAAAAGGACAGTGGCTATTTCGCTTTGCACATATACAAAAGAAATAAATTTTAGACACAAATATCTGACATACACATATAACATATATATTGTATATTTTTAGATGTTGATTTCTCCATAAAACATATTCTTTACACATAATTCACATAAAGTTAGCATGCATATACCGTTCGAAAACATATACATTGAATCCAGTTGGTACAATGGGTATATCTTTAATGGCAAACTAATAAATCAAACTAATTGCTATAATCACCTTTTAGTTTAATTGTGCCCCGTAGCAAACTGTTTGACAGTCACCTTTCTCCCTCAAACTCTCGCTCGCCACTCTAATCTCGCTCACTACCCTCGCCTTTCTCGCGTATACAAACAGAAACAAATTATATAAAGTGTGTTTCTGTTTGTATAAAGCGAGAGAAAATTGTATATACACATGCAAATACATATGTTTTTGTCCTATACACTTTTAATTATACAAGAAAAATACTCCCCTGCGCAGTTTCTTTTGCGTTTCTCTCTTTCTCGTTTTATACAAATTCAAATTGTATATATAAGTTCTCTCTTTCTCGTTTTATACAATTCGATTTAAAATTGTATATTCTCTGCCCAAGTCTCTTTTGCCTTTCTCTCTTTCTCTTTTTATACAAAATTCAAATTGTATATAATCGTTCTATACACTTGTAATTATACAATTCGTTTTATACACTTCGTTTATACAATTCTCCGCCCAAGTCTTTTTCTCTTTCTCGTTCTCATTTTATACAATTCCCTTCAATTGTATATGTATAGCAAATTATACATTCTATATGTTTGTTATGGAGTGTAATTATGCAAACTTTGCTACAACATACAAATATGAATTTTATGTTTGCTATATGTGAAAGTTGCCCATCTTTATATACATACGTAGTTACATACATATTCGAATATTTATTTGACAAATAGACCCCTAATTGAAAGAACAATATTCAAGAAAAAACATTTTAATTTAACCATAAGAAAAAACTCTCTTTGATCAGTAGATATACATAATAACATCAATTCACAGTTAACATCATAAAACAAGTTAAATGAAAGATGAACAATTGAATTCTAATAATGAGGCCACATATGCCTTGCAGCAGCCTTTTTCTTTCCCACATTTTTTCCTTAAAATTCTTTACTAGAAACCAAAAAAAAATAAAAATCTAATATTCATAATAAGATTTTCATAATATATACTTTCTTCTTCTTGGAAACTATAAATCTGGGAAGCACTCAAGCAAATGGCTTATATGAGAAGGTGGTTCAATCAATGTGTCAAAGTTCTTCCAATCACCGTTAAATTGGTTATTATTAATCCCATTACTATGCTTCTCTTCGTCGCCACGATCATCTTCATTGTTGTAATTGACTGTGTAACTCTGTTCACCGAGGCTTATATTGTCTTTCGTACAAAAACTTGTTGAAATAGTAGGGCTATCAAGTTGTGGGAGCTCATGAACTAGTACTTGATTCTCAAAGAAATTTTGGGTTGATGAATTATTAATCATCATATTTTGATAATCATGATGATTATGAGATGGATTAAATGTGAATTGAGGGAAATTTGTTGTTTGGTTGAATACATTAATATTATTGAGAGGTTGCATTGGAGTAGTTGTGATTCCTAAATTAGGTCTATAATTAGTGGTGTTTGCTCCTCTAATATAATAAGCATTTTGCCATGCATCCAAATTTGGTTGCTTGTTTGGACTTGGCTTCTTAAATGCCCTACATACCACCCATCCTTCTTCCTGTAAAAAAAGAAATTGTAATTGAGTTTTAACATTTTATACACTCATATTGTGAAAGAAATTATGTTATATCAATTAGTGATGAAGTCAGAATTTGAAGGCTATGAGTTTGTAATCAATCTAATTGTTTTAAATTAATAATTTATACGTATTTAGACCAAAATTATTGAATTTAGCTACATATGAACATTGATCTCTAGCACGCTTTTGATATCATGTCGCTTAATTAAAAGTACTATAGCTAGTAGTTTTTCATAATAAGTGAAATTAATAACCTGAAAGTAGTGAAATTCGATGTGCTATAACATTTAAATTGTACCCTAATAGTGTGAATTTTTTATTTTTTTTTACATTTTACATAAGTAAAAGTCATTTCAATTGTGATTTGCTAGCTAATTAAAGGGGTGGAGTAGTAATGATAATACTAAGCTAGTTTTGTTTGATTTTTCCTAAGTTAAGAACCCATTAGTGGAGTTATCTACTTGTTTAATTCCCACTACAATTGACTTCTTCTTGTCCTTTTTTTAATTAATTCAAAAAGTATGGTAAAGTTACATAATTGCAATTTGCATCACTTCTTTCATTGCACTCAAAGACATGAATGAACCTTTAAAGAAAAAGTGGACACTAAGCACTTCATTGTGTAAACAATTAGTAGAACTTAAAACTCTTTTATAAACAATATATAAGTATATATATGTGCTAATAGTGTATGTGTATCTATAACTTTTTTGAATACAAAACTAGTGTTGTTTAACCTATTAGCAAGCTATTATTTTTATTAATTAAGTTACCAATTACTATTCATTGACCATTAAAAAAATTATCAGGTCTATCATATTTTTGATGGATAGAGTTATCTGATATCTATATAGCTAGTGAGTATTACGTAAAATTAATCGAGGTATACACAAAACTGACCTGAGGAGGAGCATGTTCAGATGATTGGAGCCTGTATTCATGCATTATCCAATCAGATTTTCTTCCATTAGGAGCTCTTCCTTTATAGAAAACTAAGGTTTTCCTCATCCCTATTATTTTCTCTTTTGATAAAACAGCTTTGTCTCTTCCTGTTGCCTTCCAAAATCCAGCTGCTGTGGCTCTATTTGTCCTTGTTCCTGTTGGATATTTCCTATCCTTATGGCTGAAAAAATACCACTCATTTTGTTCTTCATATCCAAGTTTACATCTATCTGTACAGAGTAACAATGTTAGAAATCATGATAAAGAATATGTTTTGTTGAAATACTATCACACAGTGTGTGTCAGATATTCCAAAAAGTAGTGTAGTGTAACAATATTTTTAAAGAGTCGAGAACGATATAGGTT